GAGTCCCAAATAGGATGAAACGCGCGTCCTGGATTCCACTGCTAGCCACTATCCATCTTTGTTTACCATGCTTGTGAATTTACGCTATATCGAGGTAATACGCACAGTATGCACATATGCCAATTAGAGACTGACCAGTTGCAGTCCTAACATATCGATGGGAAGATTCAAATAAACAATACTAAATGAATTCAAACATTGAATTGTTTACATTTCTGTCAGGAAAAGAAAAAGATCATAAATATTATTTAAATTCAGGATAAGATTCAAAATTTTGCCCATATAAGAAAGTACACCTGTTTTGAACATTTGACTATTTTCACAATCCTATACTGATCACTTCAGCTAATTTGGCAAAATTTATTGGATGAGATTCGAATAGGAAGGGAGACAAAACAGGTGAAACTCAATTAGAAATTAATTTCATTAATAGTTTTAATTTATGAAGGAAACATTATACATCAACAGTATGCATCAGATCTCATAGAGGAATCCTTTTTTTTATGATAGATTGTTTAGAAGAGTTGATATATTAAATCATTTGATCAATGTTTATTTCAGTGATCAACTAGAATGTCAACCTTTAAATCATAAATTCATTTATTTTACTTATATCCTTAAAGAATTAATGATAGAAGTAAGTTCATATCCGGAACTAAATTTCAGTAAATAATAATGGTTTGTAATTTTCCGTTATGGTTATTTAAGATTTGAAGTGAACAGTTCCTGTTAGCGTATGTAAATCCTGAGTGAGTTATCCCGACAATACTATTTAGTTACAAGTTTAAATGAAGTTGAATTCCGATTAGCATTGAAATCTAAGACATATATTTTATACTATTTGGGAATGATATATTGTAGTTCAGAAAAACAACGACAGGAAATTGCAAATCCTTACTGACAGCTTCATACTCATTGAATAAGATAGTGGATACATCGATTCACTAACTTAGTAGATTATGAGTTAGTGTTTGTAACGATAGGCACTGAATTCGATTCTCATTGTGAACAAAAACGCCAAAATATACTTACATTTATCTAATAAGTTCGAAAATTAAACGAAACTTGTGTCCTGAATTCCCTTACTAATCACAGTTCAACTTTACTAAATCGTATCTTCTTGACTGTTTTAAGTTTCAGTTTTCAAATGAATAACAGTAAGAATGAATTCAAGGTTGCTATCTGTCAACCTTAAATATGTTGTTTCCACAAATTGGTCATTTTGATAAATTATTTATACTTAATCGAAACATCTTTGCATTAATCCAACATCATTTAATCTACTGACAGTTAACCGGTTTGTTTAATTTTAGTCTGTCAACAAATTAAAATGTTCAATGGAATGCCTACTAAAAATAGAATAATTCTAATAATGAGCCTAAATGAGTCTCATTATGGACTGATATGCACTAGATGAATAGATATATTAAAGACGTAATCTGTAATTGTTATTCCTTATTTTGAGATACCTAATTAATCAGATGGTGGTTGGAGATAGTCAACAAGGAACCTTGAACCTAGGTTTCAAGCTACTTGATAATCGTCAACAAGATGTACCTGTAATCTTAGGGGAACTGATGCTCCTTGATGGATGCGATCCCGTGTCACCCAGCTCAACAGTCAAAGAAGTTATTACTGAACTATCCAGGCCACGATTTTAGGTCCTTCTAGTGCAAATCGTACCCTATTCTACAGGAGGTCAATCGCGGCCCGGATAGGTCAGTGGTAACTTCTTTGACTGTGGGGCTGGGTGACACGGGATCGAATCCGTCAGGGAGCATCAGTTCCCTTAAGATTACAGGTACAACTTGTTGACGATTGGCAAGTAGCTCGAAACCTAAGTTCAGGGTTTCCTGTTGGCCACCTCCAACCACTATCTTATCTCAACATAGTGCACGCAGTGTCGAGCCACCTAGACTAATAGCCACATTGCAATTTGATCGATAGCATTCGATCAACACTAAAACGAACTTGACACGCATGACACTGATCACCACCCAGTGATCAATCAATTGTGATACCTTAATAATACTCAGTTTCAATGATACACAAAATCTGGCTTATAAGAAAGAAAAAAAAGTACGAAATCACGATAAGCTCCAGTTACTGACTAGATATTATCAGCATAAAAAAACATGAATGATAACTCTTAAAGCATCAAGTATTTTAAAGATTTATGTTGTTACCATAACCACGATTATTAATTAACATTGCTGAAACATTTGAAACCAAAAGAAACCTTTTCTTAAAAAAAGGTCAGTAGTAATATTAAGGCATCTTGTTGAACAGTTTCTGCTTCTGAAGGTGTAAGGAAAGAGAGACTAAAATAAATCGAAGATCTTTGTAGGTATTGTATTACTATATTCTAAATATGATAGAAATATCATATAATATATTGACTAGCTTTATTCCAGTTTAAAACTCGATAGTACACACTTTCACCTGAATACGGTGTGGAATCTATGGATCTATATTCTTTTGGAAAATTTCAAGATGGATTTCCTAATGTTCTAGTTAGAGTCCATGACCAGTGGAGTTCAATCATGTTTGGTTTGAGGCAGTTACTCATTGAAGACAATGGAGGACGGTCGTGCGATATCGTGGATTGGTCGGAGTTAGACGTTAACACCGTTGGATGACGTCTCAATGATCTGAAAGTTAAGTGTTCGCGCACGAGACCGAAGGCCCTGGGTTCGAGTCCCGCATGTGAGATCGTGGATTCGCACTGTTGAGGAGTCCCATACTAGGAAAAAACGGTCATCTAGTGTTTCCAGATTTTCAATGGTGGTCTAGCTTATACTGACTCATGAATCCAACTATTAAAATAAATAAGGTCATTCAATGGTTTAGATTCTCTATACATGTTGGAATTAGAACAACACATGTAAACGAACAATTGTTTCCAATTAGATCGTCATCAGGCTTTACTTTAATATACATGAATATTTATACGAAAATCCTTTAGACCAATCAAAGCTATTTGAGTCGATAATCACAATGAAATAGAATACGTCACCGAGCATAATAGGTAAAAGTACAAGTTGATAGTGGGAAGACAGGTGTACTGATCGTAATAAGAATATTAAATTACGATAACAAAAGTCTTATCAATAATTAAACATAAGAATTAAGAGGTCAAATGTGGGTAAATAGACTTAGAATAGTGATCACAAAACATTAAAATCACTACGTAATAAGAAGTGTGTAAATAACTAGATAATGAAGAATACAAACGAAAAGAGGCGGAAAATTACAAGCAAATGATAACAAAACTAAAAGTAAAATTTTAAAATAATAATCATGTCATTTGTTAAGTTATATCCGGCCATGGAAGGGATAGGGAGGTTACAAATTTCTTCTGTGCACATAAATTGGGGTGAAATGTACGAATTCCTATGGCTTCTGCTATATGAAGGAGACAGGAACGAACTCCGTTGGGAAATGATGGAGCTGCACGATAGATCACTCGAAATGATTTCGACTTATCTACATTATGACCACTATTAATTAGATGTGCCAAAATAGAACTGCGTATTGTTTTTATTTGGCTCTTCCCAAACCATGCTGGTAGATGTTCACTCATTCGTTGGTTAAGTTGATTGGTAGTACGCCCGATATAGCTAACTCCACAGAAACAGCTGAACTTGTAAATGCACATAAAGGAGGCCAACTCAGGTAACTTTTCCTTCGTTTCAGTAGACATAGCTGGCGGACTCGAGAAAGTCAACGAAGGATCAGTACACCTGTCTTCCCACTATCAACTTGTACTTTTCCCTATTATGCTCGGTGACGTATTCTATTTCATTGTGATTATCGACTCAAATAGCTTTGATTGGTCTAAAGGATTTTCGTATAAATATTCATGTATATTAGAGTAAAGCCTGATGACGATCTAATTGGAAACAATTGTTCGCTTACATGTGTTGTTCTAATTGTCACAATGGAAATCTTTAATATTCTAATATCACATGTTGGAATACCAATGTTGACACAATCACTACTAAATATGATGTTTAGGGATTTACTATTTACTATAATTGAATTCATTAAATACATTACATGTTATCAATATAATCATAGCTATACTGATTCGAAACGATAAGACACTACAATCTAATGTGTTATAACACCCGATACTACTGACAATCTTTAAACTATTCATTATATTTTAAGCATACCCATTGACTGACTTGATAAATCAACTGAAATTACATCTGAAGATCTTTTGTTGAGATTTCACCATTTTCATAGTTGAAAGGAAAACCTTGAATCACTGCTTGACGGCCGTTTCGTCTTACCGTGGGACTCCTCAGTAGTGCGCATCCTCGACCTCGCCTCGCGAGATTCAAACCCAGGACCTACTAGTCTCGCACCAGAGCACTTAACCGATAGACCACTGAGCTGGCAGGCATACAACGGTGTTAATGTGTAACTTCAACTAATCCACTAAGTTGAGCAACCATTCATCATTGCATTCAGTGAGTTGTTATCTCACAACAAACGTGGTTGAACTCCACCGGTCACTGCTTCCCACTAGAACTCCAGGGCATGTATCTTGAAGTTAGTTACTAGTGAGCATATGATTATAATCAGAAGGGGTTTTGTGGAGATTTCAGTATTACATCAATTTAAACAAATGAAGTGTACAATTTTAAATTAAGATAATTCAAAAGTATAAATTTATTCTAATAGATATTCTACAAATGTATATACAATGATCTTTTGTCCATGTCAATATTCCATACTATAACTTTGATCAAAATCATTAGAACTTTAAGTCAATGCAGGTATGACACTGATCTCCAATTAAAACCACCTTTTGTTTGTTGTAGAAATTTGCCAAATTTCGAATTTTCGTTTCTGAACTCATTACTATTCATAATTCCTTTTTTCATGGAGTATCTTGAAATTCTTCGACTATAGAAGAGGAATGCATCTGAAGTTTCATGGATGTATAGTCATGGAAATGAGAACACTTTACTTTTGAAAAATTTCGCGGATTAATTTTGGAGAATCCTTCTTAACCAATCCATTAAATTGAATATTGACAATCTCTGTGTTAAAAATAAATAAACAAATAAATAATAGTCAAGTACCGTCATGTAAAATAGAATCATTCAAATAGGCGGTATTTAATTTCTTTTACTAAAGTTAACTATGTAACTTAGTAAAACAGTTCAAGTGTAAGACTTTGCAACTATGACATTACTATAACAAACTTAATTATGATCTCTTTTTAAAAACAATTTAACAGAAAAAATTTACCTGGTATTATTTGTTTGAATCTTCCCATTGATGTTATGGTTTGCACATATGCCAATAAGAGACTGATCAGTTGCAGTCTTAAATATCAATGGGAAGATTCAAACAAACGCTATTAAGTGAATTTAAACTTCACCCTGTTGCACAAAACAAGTGGCTATGAGGACTCAGTAGCTGGGTGGATAACGCGATGGCGTTTGAAGCGAAAGGTACTGGGCTCGAGTCCTAGAGTGAACATCAACTCTGAGACGCAGGTACATCCAGCTGACGAGCCCCAAATAGGACGAAACACACATAGTGGATTCCACTGCTAGCCACTATCCATCTTTGCCTATAATTTAACAGAAAATTGTATGATACCTGACGAGAAAAACTTAAGTCTCCTTCAAAACAAAAGAAACGATCATTTTAGGTTTAACTAGTGGATACATATCCTAAGCATGTTGATTTAACTTATAAATACATATAATAATCTTGTTGAAATTTAATGAACTATGGTTGGATAATTTGATTTTAAAGAGTTCATTGTCTCCTTAGACAACTTAATAATTAAATTACTCAGCTTAGAGACACATGATTCCAACAAAATCATTTTCCTAAACCACACATTTTCCATATCATATCAACAGATTACAATGTAATATAAATTGACTGTTTCAGTATTAGATAATGATGATCTAGTTACTATTAAACATTATATAAGTATCACTTTCATAAATCATATCATCTTAGATAATCTAATTAATTTAAATATCTTAAAATTAGTATAAACTTACCCCTTGTTCATATGATTGATTGATTAAGACACCAGGAAGTTCATCAATAAGTCTTTCTTGTGAACAAGATTCCATATTGAATATCTTAATATTCATTAATTCTTTATCAAATTCATCACCGATAATCGACAATTTTCTTGCTAACAAAGTTGGTTCCAAATGTTCAGGATTAATTTTACGTTTAATCAATAAAACAGGATACATGAATTTTAAGATGATTAGATCAGGATACCTTGGAAGAGAAATAATGATAACTATTGACTTTTGATTTGTTTAAATTATTTATCAGCGAATAAACATATTTATTAAACTATATTTCCTATAAGAATAATCAAAGTCTAAAATTATAACTGGTTAAAAGAAAAATACTATATCTCCCTTTACAATTAAACCAATCAAGAAAAATATGTTCAAAAAAACAGGATAAGAGGTGGGAGTAAATTTCTGGTAAAAATGAATCAAAGTAACCAATAGGATTCTTTTGCGATTAGCTAAAAACTTAACTATGTTAAACATTATTGTAATAGAGAAAAAACTCTCATGATTCTAAGATATTTTGATCCTATGCGTAGGTGGGTGGTTGTTTGTTTTCATCTTATCAGTGAATTATTAGGAATCAGAAGGGGTTTTGTGGAGATTTAGTATTTTCATAGCTGAAAGCGTGAGTCAACTGATGCTAGACCACCAAGGAAAACCTGAAAGCACTGGACGGCCGTTTCATCCTACTGTGGTACTCCCCAACAGTGCACATCCACGATCTCGCCTCGCAAGATTCGAACCCAGGACCTACCGGTCTCGCTCCAGAGCACTTAACTGATAGAACACTGAGCCGGCATCCGATGATGTTTATGTCTAACTACAACCAATCCACGAAGTTCAGCAACCGTTCACCAATTGTCTTCCAGGTTTTCCTTGGTGGTCTACCTTCAATCGACTTACGCTTTCAACTATGAAAATTATGAGGAAATCAATTCTTTAAAAAGATGTATAGATAAGGTTAAATTCATTAGTCAATTTTTATATATCGTATTGTGACAGATTTTGTTCTGTAAAGACAAGACGGATCCAAACCAATGAAGCCAGTCTAGGAATTATTACATAAAATATAAAGAGCTTCGTATATTCTTTTATTATACGAACAAATCATTCACAGTTTTAATTAGAAAGCAATTTACATCACAAGCTGACTATATCTGACATTCACTGAAAATCACAAAACATTAGATACGTATTTCATTCTCAAAATGAAACTCAACAGTTAAGTAAACCAAACAACTTATACAGGTTCAAGTTTACAATCTTCATGTGAGTGTACATCTACACATATAATGACACCAAATTAATAGTAGCTAGAGTTAGTAGTTAAAATGAGATGACTTCATAAGACATAAAAAACGGTAGTGAGATTTCTAAAACATTAAAATTTATAAAATGAGTAAAGTAGTGACTGATGATTCGCAAAAGTTATTAGAAAACAATGTTTCACTAACATTATTGATACTTTTCGCTTCTATAATTCCTATCAGATATCTACAACTATGACGAAAGTTATGACAGTCACTGATAAAATGTTTGAATTTATGCTGATTGATCACTAAATTGGTATATTGTGTCATTGTTTATTTAATCCTAAATAACCATTGAATTCTATTCATCAATTTATAATTTAAACACTACCAACATAGAGTTGTGGAGATTGTTGAGTTTTAATATTGAGATCATGAACTGATCAATGTTAGACCACCACCAAAAATCTGGAAACATTGAACGAACGTTTCGTCCTAGCATGGAATTCCTCAGAAGCATGCAATATAGTGGATTGTTTGAAGTTAGACATTAACACCGTCGGATGCTGATCCAGTGGTCTAGAGTTTAAGTGTTTACACACGATACCGAAGGTCATGGGTTGGAACACACGAGCGGGATCATGGATGCGCACTACTGAAGAGTCATACTGGGATGAAACTGTTGTCCAGTGTCTTCAGGTTTTCAGTGTTTGTCTACCATTCATCATTCATTATCTCAACTAAAATTTAAACACTAGTTTGAATGATTTGACATCCTAAGTATTTTTTTCTTGTATTACATAATCGGAAATGATTGCCTGCATGGAATCGAGTTCGTGATAGTTAAATGTCATTGTGAATATCATATTATTTATCCATATGATCAAAGTTTAGCTGTCTACATTTTCAACTTCTGTCAAACCGTGATATGAAACAGTCACCATTTGGTGTTATTGTCGTGTACGTTACTGACATCAACAGATATAAATAGTGTGTATCATCAATCGAAAGTGGGATACCTAGAGGTAGAAAGTTGAGAAAATCTAAGATAAGGGAATGGGAACGGGAACGGTAAATGATTGGCATGGAGACGAAAGAACAACGAAGTCTGAAACAATTGATGGATATTTTGCAAATGAGGTATTTACTGTATGGTTCTCCAATTTTAAGAAGATATTCTGTAATGTGGCATTCAAATACATTCGGTTGTCCTCGGCTGTGTTCTCGTTCACTACATTATCAGTGAATTTTTGTAGGTAGTTATGGGTGAAAGGTATCTTAGGTTGAAATTAATTGTTATAGTCTATACTCATTGCAGAGGACTCCTTACTGTTATAAAATTTTTATTTCTAAATAAAGAAAGTATTACTAATAATACTCATCTAATGGTTTTAAAAATATTCAAGAGATTAAAGTTTTAATTAGATCAAGTAAATTGTTGAGAAGATCCAATGAAATGCGAAAGCGCCTAATTAATGATTGATTAGTGATTGGTGTCATGTTATTCTAGTACTTTAGTACAGTTAGAATTTTGTTGATCAAGTTTTATTATGGCAGCTAATCTAAGTAATTCGACTAGTACACTATGGTAAGATGTAAATTAGTTCGAGGTAGTTGGCGTGTAAATACGAATCTGGATTTTGGGCTAGTCAGAACTTATCAACAACAGAATGTACTTGTTATCATCTTCCAGAAACTAATAATCTTTACAGTGTGGAACCCCAATAGGCCAAATTTATCATCTGTTTAATTAATAATGAGCTGATTGAACCTATTTCAATATATTGTCTAATTTAAGAGAAAAAAACACTAGTTAATTGGTCGAAATCGGAGATTCCAATGAATTAATACTAATTCAGTAATCTAAGGAGTTAAAATTCCACGTCAGTACGTAAATGTTCCTGACTCGATCTTTAGTATGATTATGGTTGCTTATAGCTAGACAATTCTATAGTCAGAAGAAATAATTATTCAAAGAACTATAGTTTTCAGTGGTTGTGTATTTAAAGTCGTTCCCTATTGTAATCCATAAATGTTAACTATAATATATAATGGCTGGTGCAACCAGTGAATGACCAGACCTTAATTAAATCTGAACATATCAACAAAATTTAGCTAATATAACGTAATTTGTTAGTTGTATTCATTATAAATTGATCTCAGTTGATGTACCATTAAAAACCAGAACTCACTGTACAGCTATTTTGATAGTACACTGCTGAAGAGTACTAAATTAAGAAGAAATGGTTATTCAGTACTTCTTATTTTCTTTTGGCACCCAACTAAGATCGACCTTTGACAATTACACAACTTACAAATTAAACTAATCTTCACTAAACTTCATCAACTAAATTTCAGTACTATATGAATTTCATTGTAACTATTCATGATCTCGACTATTAAAATTACTATAATATCCACAAAACCCCTTCTGATAATAATCAACATATGCTCACTAGTGACTGGCTCTAAGAGGTATTTCCTGGAGTTCTAGTGAGAAGCAATGACCAGTGGATTTTAACCAGGTCTGTTGTGAGATAGTAACTCACTGAAAATATTGGTGGATGTGTTGCTCAATTTCGTGGATTGGTTGAAGTTAGACATTAACACCGCTGGATGCGGCCTAGAGGTTAAGCTCTCACGCGCGAAACTGATAGGTCCTGGGTTCGAATCTCATGAGGCGGGATTGTGGATACGCACTGCTGAGGAGTCCCACAATAGAATGAAATGAACTTCCAGTGCTTCCAAGTTTTCCATGGTGATCTAGCTTCAATTAATTCATGATCTCAACTATTAAAATAAATTTACATTTAAAGTATTACTCCATTGAATTTTTTTAACTGAAAGCTTTTATCCACTTGTATCGAATTTTCACTGTCCAAAAATTTCGATACAAATAGATCATATAGTTTTTTCAAGCAGAAAATTGTCACCTTTTTAGAAGAAAATTCAGTTATTACATACGAATGATTCATTTGTATACGGTAGTCATAATTAACATCACGATATCCTTCGTTCCAGTACATTGCTATCTAGTCTAAAAATCATTTATTTTTTGTGGCAGTATACAACGCACAATATCGTATTATTATTATGCATGAAGAATTTCAGCAGTACTACTGATACATAAATTGAATGGTAATATTTTCTATGATTAACATCAGCATAAATCACTGTTTTCTTTCCATATCATTTCTTGCAGAATAAGATTAATGTTAATCATTAGTTCCTAGGATTAATAATTTCCAACATCTAAATATGAATAATAGTCAAACATACTTGCTTACTTACGCCTATTACCCCTCGTGGAGCAGCTTAAGCCGCCCACCAGGATGGGCTGAAAAAAAACACGAATCAAAGCACACTACCAGCCTAAAATATGTAGTATGTTTAATGTCTTTCATAAATTCATCATAATCACCACCACCACCATTCATTCATTTGTAATCCTTTTTAAAAATATTACTGTAATTCATCCGGTTAGATTCCCTTAGAGATTATGTAAAGCATGGTAATAATTACACTTCTGTTTGTGATTGTTGTTGCTATTGTTGTCACTTTTTGTTTACAGACAAATAAATCAACAGGTGAAATTTCAACACGTTGACCTTGAGGAATCTTCTCGTTAAACACTACAACACAATATAAAGTATTCAATATTGAAATTTGTTGTTAAGCTATTTGTGTGGATGATTTCAAAAGAGCTATTTAACTTAATTATACACTTTGACTATCTGTTCTATTCATCATAAAAAGACCGATCTACTCATTCTTCTCAAACTACATTCTGATCTTGTCAGTTATTGACTTATTAACCCTGACTATTTTTGTATGATCGTTAGTGTGCTGATTACTCAATCTATTCATTATGTGTCTGTAATTTGTTTTTGGTCTGACTATAAATATTGAGTAACGCCTGATTAAATAGAGTTGGTTTACTTTCTTTCTCCGATCAGCTCTCTCCTCTTCGCTTTGTTTCCCTGATTGTCTGTCCACATAAATAAGTGTAAAAAAATATATACGTATTCAAAAAACTGTTCTCGTATTTGACTTATCTTCTAACGTGGATTGTGTCGATGACAATCAGCATACAATCCAACTGAAGTCAGACACAGCCACTAAAAAGTTAAGATGAGAGGAAAGATTTTCATATTTTATTTCGATGTCATTATTTTTCATGACTATCTAACATACATAAACCTATTATTTAAAGATAGTGTTTATCATAGATTGGAAAATTATTCTTAATAAGACTCAGGAAATATTCGACTTCTTTATTTTCCATAGAAATTACAAACTCAGTTGAAGAAGCCCATTTTCAATATCCCTTAGTTTTAAACGATTAGTATCAGTTCATACTGTAAAGATATCTTCAAATTGTACAGATCTTGATCAATCCATTTTTTCAGTATATATATTGTTCACCATCATAAAATAATGAGGATAAAGAAACACCAATATGTTTGATAGGTTGTATTAGTCGTCGATCAATATCAGTAGGGGTATCAATGAAGACAAAATAGTACTGAACATAAATCAAGAGGTCACTGGATAATAAAATGGAATAAGGACCAGACTATACCTCAAATTGACTGAGTTTGACAATGGTTACCATTCGATTAATTATAGTTGACATATTTAAAAAAACTCGTATCACTGACTTGATACTAGACTGTACCAGTGATTTCCAAGGTTTGTGTTAACTGCACTATCCTTTCTTAATAATTAACATAAGACGTTTTTCTCTAATGGAAAGATGGTTTATTATCATGAGTTAATATTAGCCAAAGCATTGGACTGACGAGTCGTTTCTTTCTACTTTACATTTCTTAATATTGCATACTAACGACTCCACACAAAAGTAAAAACGGTCAAAAAAACTGAATTGTTGTATAATGATCTCACTGTGTTATAGATTGATTAAAGTTTAAAATATACCTTTCCATTCCAACTTGACAATTCAAATTTATTATATTCCCCTTAGTACCTGAACAATTTGTGATTAATTCTATACGCGGGGTTAATGGATGATTATTGTTAAAGGCGAACAAACTATCCAAGGGAATTAAATCACTAATATTTCTCCAGTGCATATCATCTGAAATTGTTATCAAATGATAAAAATCACTTGGTATTGTTTATTTGTATCTTCCCATTGTTATTTAGGACTGCAAATGATCAGTCTAATGTTGGCATATGTACATCCTGCGCGGACTGCTTCGATATTGCCTGAAGTCACAAGCTTTATAAGCAAACATGAATAGTGGCTAGCAGTGGAATCCAGAACGCATGTTTCGTCCTATTCGTGACTCATCAGCTGGATGTACATGCATCTCACAGTTGATGTTCACTCTGGAACTCAAACCCAGTATTGTTCACTTCAAACTCCATCATGATATCCACTAGGCATTTATTAATCTCTCTTAACGAAATATTTTTGCAACATAATGATCAAAATTGCAATACAAAATACTTATTGCATCGAATAAAACACTTATCACTGTTAACTCGTACTGAAACATGGACATCTAAAAATACTTGTAACTTACCAATTATTTATAGTGTTTTCCTGAACGTAAATAGTTTGTACAAACTTAATAAGCTTCAAAGACAGTTTACATCACTGATTAATGTATGGACGGTGAACAGTTAAGAACTATGAACTGATTGACAGTTGTTTCATCTTAGTTTAGTAGATTACATCAATTAACACTCATGACTACAAGTGAGATCAAACTATGAATTTCCAAAATTCGGAACATCGAGTAGGAATCAAGTGGTATACGTTCCTAAATTTAATCATTTCTCAAATCAACACAAATATGGTTTAGTTTCAAAAGGTATACTCGTAACTTCCATTGCACAAACAGGTGGCTATGAGGACTCAGTAGCTAAGTGGATAAAGCAATAGCATTTGAAGCGAATGGTACTTGGTTCGAGTACGAAAATGAAGCATCAACTCTGAGATACAGGTACATCCAGCTGACGAGTTCCAAATGATACAAATGTTTCAATAGACCATTTAATTAAATTATTATTTACATCAATTAAGAATAAATAAATAAATATTTTCAACTGATTTATTTCAAAATATTCATTTCACATGCTTCAATTTACAACATAAAATGTGAGAAGAAAAGAAAATTAGATAATTTAACCTTGATACACATGGGAATACTACTTATAATAATAATAATACTACTAATAATAGTGATAATAATAATAATAATGCTCCATTTATTTATTAACATTACACGTTTAGATTGATGATACTGGTGAAATTTATTATACACCTTATTTATTTATTTGGTTGTTTGTTTTACTAAACATAAAAGGATGAGTTCAAAAGTTCAAAAACAGGGTTTATTTTTAAATTTTAATTTGAATGATACTGTGGAATATTTAAACAAAAAATTCCATTTTATTATTTAATTAGTTGATGTTTTTTTCTGAGAGAGAGGGGGGGAGGGAGAGAGGGAGGGAGGGATGGAGGTAGAAGGAAGAATGGAACAAACAATCAAACGTTCATTATTTAAGATGAATGAATTAATTTTGTTTAACAAAATCCATAGAATAAATAATCCACTGGGAAAATAAATCATAGATCAATAGAATTATTTGTTTTCTACTGGCATGATTTGATTATTTATTTAAATAGTATCATTGCCAATCATTTCATAGTTTAGATCATAGACTTATTTTAGTTAGATAACCACTGAAAACAAGGAAGCACTAGGCGATTATTTCCTCCTAATCTGGGACTCATCAACAGAGTGCAACCCTAAACCATGTAAACCTCTGGCACTCACCACGAGACTTGAAAATCTCGGGTTCTATCTATAGTGAGGTCATGAATGTATACTACTGAAGAGTCCCATGCTACAAGGAAAAAGTAATCTAGTACTTCCTGGTTTTTGATGATTGTCTGACTAAGATCAGTCTATGATCTAAAATGATGAAATTCAACAAACTGTCTATAATTATATCACTTATTTATTTATTTATATTTGGTGTTATTCAATTGTGTGTGTTCTGCATCTTATATTGTACAAATCCTAAGTAAACTATAAAAAGTTAACGAGTCATTTGATTAGCGGTGTCACTTACGTAACAAGAATAATATGGACACAATCAAAAGTAGTGGAAATTAGAACATTTAAAATGAAAATAGCTTAATATTAGTCAACAGACCACTCAAAATAGCACAGAATTAGATAATTGTATCTTCTCTCATCCAGGATTCTTTCAGAATGTGTGAACAGCCCTTCCTAACACACCGGAATCAAACTGAAGGACTTAAAGTTACACGGAGTGTAGGATACCTTTACGTCAGAGTTAAAACCTATTATTTCATATTTCCGACTTCCCTACGTTTTTTTATATAACCCAACTGCTACTTAATATCATCAATAACTCAAATGTATCGTATTTAATATGACATTTTAAAATTCTTATTTTGATCTTATGTGAAGTAATGATTATAACTACTGACAAGTTTAAACTGTCTATCTGCCTCTTGTTACCAGTATAGCTCTAGATGGCAAAAAACTACATATCTGATCATGCCATCAATGTTTTAAGGTCATCGATCTAATCCCTTGTCGATTTCGTGTCATAAGCTGTTCATGAAATACACACAAAGATGAAACATTATATATCCGACTCGTTTGAATTGCTCGGAACAAAACAATAACAAAAACTACGTAGACCATAAAATGAATTTAATTCTGAATTCCAAGTTCTTGTAATCAGCTAGAAATAGCTTGCGATGAATACAAACTGATAAGTAAGCATGAGAAATTCACAAACTACTGTTAATAGAGTGACTTTAGTTGAAGATAATTTGTGAAGATTAGTTAAATTTGTAGGTTGTATTCATCACAAACTGATTTTGGTCGGAATACTATTGAAAACCAAGGAACGCTTGGTAGCTGCTCTATCCTAATATGAGACTCCTTAATACTACACATCCATCATTCCACTACGGAATGAACTCAAGTCCTCCAAGTCTTGTAACTAACGCCCGATCATTATATCCATCAAGTTGAAATCTAATTATACACACTACAAACTTCAATCACTTCGTGATATACAATAATGATCATTCAATGACATTGATAAAGACATGTCCGAACTTCACTCTGTCTAGTTTTCAGTCATACCCTATAGTGAAATTAATCTGTATTAAATACATTCTACAAACGAAATACCCATTTAATATCTTCCAATCTTCAATTCCCCCCCCCAGTTATTGTCAATCTGTTCATCATAAATTAAAAAAACTACAATTCATATCTAAGATTAATTTAGGACGTTTTTATTGATGATTACATTTATCTAACTTTATCCGACTTCCAAACAAAAAATAAAGAAAAACTGAAGAAAAACGTGTGGAAAAAAGAGGTTGACCATTTAAATTTAATAGTCAGTACTTGGTACAACAATAAATAATAATAACATGTATTGTCAATGGAACTAGTAACATCACTTAAATATTGTAGTGAGAATGAGATCTATTTGAATCACCTTTATATAGTTAAGATCACGAGTCGATTGAAGCTAGACCGCCATGGAAAACCTGGAAGCACGGCTTGACTGCCGTTTCGTCCTATTGTGGGACTCCTCAGCAGTGCGCGTTCACGATCCCGCCCTCGCGAGATTCGAACCCAGAACCTACCAGTCTCGCGCACGGGCACTTAACCGATAGACCACTGAGCTGGCCGGCATCCAACGGTGTTAATGTCTGACCTCAACCAATCCACGAAATTGCGCGACCATCTTCCATTGTACTGAGGTAGATACCTGTCACTACCTGACATGGATTAGCCCCACTGGCCACGACTTCTCACTAGAACTCCAGGAACTACCTCATGTAGCCAGTCACTAGTGAGCAAGAAGGTTTTGTGGAGGTTTTAGTAATTTTATATAGTTAAGATCATGAATCAATTGAAGCTAGACCACCATGAAAAACCTGGAAGCAGTGAATGGCCTGCTGAAGAGTCCCATAATAGGACGAAACGGCCGTTAAGCCGTGCTTCCAGATTTCTCACGGTGGTCTAGCTTCAATTGATTCATGATCTTAACTATATAAAATCACTAAAATCTCCACAAAACCCCCTTGTGATGAATCACCTTTGTCAGATAATTTAAATTAATGGAAAACTTTTATTATTAGGTCGCCTCTCAACAAGTATTTCGATTCGCTTAAATTTAAACATTAACAGATAGTTGCATGTTTTTATCTGTTCAATGATTGACTACATTTGGAAGAAAGAATTGAAGCTGAATTTCAGGGAAACTTTAGTTTCCAATGAGCCATTATAAATTTCGATTCGTAACATTGAAGAAAAGTTCATGTATGTTCAGCGTTTTAATTAATTTGTAACGAAGTCTAACTATGAGGGAACCTAATTATTAAAATATCAATTAATATTATATTAAGTTAATATGTCAGCAGCACTCTCCGTATTACTGAATAATTTATATGTATTGGTTGTTTGAATCCTTTAGCTGATGTTTTGAGACTGCAATTAGTCTCTTTTGGTATATGTGGACGGTGTCCTGATTTCCTTGATACTACTAGTAAGTCACAAGCATTTTAAGTACAGATGGATGGCAGCTAATGCTGTGATCCAGGACTCGCATTTCATCATACTTAAAACTCTTAGGCTGGATATACCTGCATCCGAGTCGATATTCCTGTCAGAACTCAAGCCCAATATCGTTCACATCAAACACCATTGCGTTATCCACTTAGATACTAAGTCCACCTAGCCACTATTTTGTGCAATAATCTGAATTTTAATTTATATGTATTGACAGTATGAATCTTCCGACTGATGTTTAGAATAATGATTGATCAGTATGTACATTCAGCTGACGAATTTCAAGTAAGATGGAGCATGAATTCTGGATTCCACTGTTCTCCATTATAATATTGAATAGCTTCAAGTAAAAAATTCATACTACTTCAATGTTTTCTCTTAAATATCTTTTGATTTGATACTTTTTTTTCATCTTTTTATTAAAACATATACTATTTGTCAGAATGGGTTTTGTGGAGATTTCAGTATTTTCATAGTTCAAATCATGA